TGAAATCGTTTTCGTGATCGATTTGATTGACTTACACCTCCGAAATTAAACCGATTAAAAGCAGAAGGAAATAAATAATTTTCAGTGATCTCACACACTTAATCTCTCTTAATGTTAAGCTTTTCGTTTTCAACTGAAATATGAACAGCACATCTGGTCTCGGTTGCTCTTCGCGTGTTTTCACTGAAATCGATTAGCGTTGTCCCTTTGACTTATTATGTAAAATATTGTACTTCTTCTTGGCATTACTTAACAATTAATGTTTACAGTTTGTAAATATATAAACTGTTTGTTGTTTACTGATTCCGATCATCTTGTCTGAAGAATTCGAGAAATGATTTCACGTTCTGTTTTCATTCAAATTCCAAATCGTTTGTTCAATGTAAAAATTGTGTGTACATACAGTGGTTGTTATCGTTTTTATTGATTAATTGTCTAACTGGAACTTGTTCAAATATTTCGAGGTGAGAATTTCATCTGTGTACTAAACATATCATACTGAATAAAACCGTTAATATTAATCAAAATGGGAAACAATTCCATGTGTTAAACAAAGTAGAATTACCAAACCATATTCAAATGCATTCATTTAATGCGATGATACAGCACCGAATGAAATACATTTTCAACTACATTTTTGTCTAAACTTCATCAACATCATCATCATGTGTTGTTAAACATAAAACTAACACTATCATTCATCATCTGCATTCAAGTGTTTAGTTTCATCGAAAATGAATCGAAAACGAATACCGCTGCATTCTATGAGGACATTTAACGGAACACCATTTAAGCACAAGTAAAACACTTAATATCTGCTCAAAGTTTATTCATGAAAGTAATACAGAAGAAACTTCTCATCTAGGAAGCAATCTTTATTCAATCTCAATCTGTTTGACAATCTTCTAACATTTGTCATTCTTCTATCACAACTAGTTAGATTTTCCGATCCTTCTCTTCAGCACTATTTCAATTAGTTGATCATTTTAAACAACTTCGTTCAATGTACAAACATCTTAGTAAGAGAATTATTCTGATTACTTGATATTTAGTCATTATTTAAGAAAACACTGCTTTCCAAGTCTAAGTATGTTAATTATCGAACTGAACATGATAAAAATGACTAATTATTCAATTGAAACATTGAATCAAGTCAGGTCAGTTGTTCATTCAAACCGCAGAAATTTACAAATTCTTTAATAAATTTCTATTCAGTAAAACATTGAGTTAGTCAGTGAATGACAAACAACATCATTAGATCACATCTTTTTTATCTTGAATAAAAGATAATCTTTGAACAATGAATAATAATGAAAAAAAATAACTTTCAGAAATATTTATTGAATGATTCATTTATTTATTAAAATGTTATGATATTTATTATTCTAGTATATAAGTAGTATATAAACTTCATTTTTAATTATTCTACTTGAACGGAATGTGATTAGGATTTTGATTAAGAAGCAAGAATTTTTTCGAGAACACGTTTGGTTATTAAAATGTAGTTAATTGATATATTTGATGAACAATTAGGTGTCAGTAAATATTCGAAATATAGTTTATATCGAAATTACGAATCCGATCATTTACAGACCCTTACTAACATTGTGGCAGCACCAGACAGCCGTTCGGCTACAGTACAGGACTCATCAGCAGTGTGCATCCATGACTGCTGCTGGCGCAAGTCAAACCCCTTTCCTTCTTTTTAAAACAGTCAACAAGTCAATGCATAACCTCACACACAGAAGATGGCTGCCTGCATCACACAGGGTTGAACCCCACGAGTTACGGCTTCTCACTTAAAGTGCCGAAGAGCTTCATCGTGAAGCGAGTGATTACTGAGCACAATCCTATGATGGTCATTATAGTAATGGTGGACATTTTTGAGTTTCATTGAAATAATAAATTGCTCATTGTTAAACCAATATCACATATAGTGCTTCAAGGTTTCTAATGGTGCTCCAACATTGATCAATTCATGATTTCAGAAAGATTCCGAAATTATTTTGTCTTTTGTTGTCATCCGCATTATTTTCACATCTTGCATCCGTTTGTCTATTTCTGCCTCATTCCATTTATATTCTGATTATTTACAAACTTCCTATTACTCAATTGTTATAATGTTTTGTGATGATTATTTGAAATCAGTGTATCCACGTTTGACCTCCTACTACTACTGTCAATTTTGAACTATTGACAAAATCCCTAGCGATCGTATTTGATTATTCTTACAACTATCAGTCCATCTGTCAGCCTAGTAGTCAACTTGTACTTTTACCTATTATGTATAGTTACGTAATCTATTTCATTGTGATTATTGACTCATACTCAATTGCCTTGATTGGTTCGCCATTTTCATATCAATATTCCTGTATGTTAGAGGAAAGCCTGATGACGATCTAATTGAAAACAATATTGTTCGCGATTTGTTGTTCCGATTTACACTATGCGAATATTTATTACGTAACCATTATGAATATTCTTGTTGTTTGATGAATACGTAACTAGATCACTATGCGTGTGTTAATCCAGTTGATAAGATGCTTTCGGTCAACCTAAAACTTTTGCCATAGGACATATAATGCTTATTTGATTGCTGACCTACTAGTTGTATTATTTTTCATTCACAGCGAAGTTTGCATTCTTGTAGTATAATAGTTACTTAGCGACGCACAGAGTGACGTTGTTCAGCCTGCTCAAAACGTAGATTCAGTATAGGTTGATCTCTATTTTTAGACTCAGAACAATGCGTAGAATAGAGCTTGTGAATAGTGGACTGATAAGTTCAAGATTAGTGGTGCGGATTGGGTGTCTTTTTGTTCAATTTGGTGACAGTAGATGGTCGAGTAGGTGGTCAACGTCGGATATGCAGAACGTCTATCATGATTCGAAGTGATCAGTGGGCATGTTATATCGGTCGTTGGGTTTGACGACATAAGAAGATATCATTTGTACTTCAAAGCATTCCGACACATCACTCAACAATACACTGAAGATTTGTGCGTGGCAATTAGACAATCCACAATTATACTTCATTCATGGAAAAGATCGACGATTAGCTAGTTAGTGTAAAGTTATAGTACAAGACACTATGATAGTATTTCAAGTCATATACTAACTTGTTTTCATCAAATTTGGATAATGGCAGGCAAGAAAATTCACAACTCGCATTGTATATTTTCCATTTATTATTTGTTACACTGTACAATCTGGTGTTTTAAATCAATAAATTACAGTGACAAGGAAAATTATATTCAAAGAACAAGAAAGCATGAAAATCGGTTTCAAATAGTAATGATCAGTTTAGAATAGGTTGATCACTACACAAAAAAGTAAATAGTTTCAATTCAACAGTCAGTCAAAACAGTGCATTCTTAAACATTAGGTCTGGAAAATTTGGGACAGTACAAAATAGATTGCTTCTCAGAGAATTTAGACAGTCTACATATAACTGGTCAATCGTTCGTTGGAGCTGTAATGTGTCCCAGAAATAGTGGTACAGTATCATTCCATACAACAGAAACAATAAATGGATGGTCAACACGAAATTCCGGCACAGGTTCATATGGTTCGAAACATGAATTTTCATATATTCTCACTTCTGTCACTGCAGCGGCTACAACACCTTCCTCATTCACCTATTAATATAAATAGACGAGAATCAAACTCTGAAATGACGATTGTAAAAGGAAATCAGATATACGTTACTAAATAATTATACAGAAATTCATACTGTGTAATTTTTACAGATGTTTCATTGATTTGCATATTTTTATTACAGTAAGAGTCACTCCGCACAAAATAGTAGAATACTTCAAAAACATGCATTGCCGGTACACTAATTTCCTGTTTGAGCTGTCCCAATGCATATCTGTCATATATCCGCCAAGAACATGAAGACCTGAAGACGTCGTTTAAGGAGAATAAGAAACCTAAGATTCAATGACTTATTGTCTATTGTGTACTAAGTAACTTGCGATCCGACAGCAATATGGATAGACGAAAGAATATGCCATAAATGTAAGTCTTTCGATTAACTCGTTATATTCTTTTGAGTGACAGCAGTGATAAGATGCCTAATACGGATGAAAATGTGTGAGTTCAGTACATGTATTCATTTATGTAGACAACGTGAAGATGAAGAGAGCAAACCGAAGAAATCAAACGAATCAGTCTCCTTTGATAGAGAACGACATACCACCTATAGTCAGAAGAGAATAAGCTAAAGATGTGCAGAGAATACAATAAGTAATACACATACACACGCTTAAACAGAATGAGTCACCATCAACAGCGTATTATCAGTCAGTCAGTCCATTGCAACGTAGATTTTCGTACGCATGTACATAAGTTCATGTTGCCATACCACATTAGCACAGAGACGCAGGTGTCACATCAAATCTCATAGTCATAAAGATAGTAGAGGTATGAATGGTAATCAAGAAGACTAGGGTTTGAAGATATTATTTAAAAAGTATAATTCAGTGATGTAAGGTTAGAAAGACAAAGGTAGAGGTGATGACGAATCCAGAAGATTAGGATTAGAGAGAGCTCAAAGAATGGATGCACTTGCTCCATCGCAAACGATTTTAAGCCATGTCGTTCAGGGTCTCTAATCATTGGTTTCGCGGACCGAAACCAGATAGCCTATACCCACCAACATGACTCAGTCCACTTGTCAGTTACTTCATGGATTCTCAGCGTATTATTGACAAGATCAAAACATTACTTGATCAGAATAAATTAGTTGGTCTTTCCAGAATCTAGTATTATCCGTATAGACATAAAACAGTACTAAACACTACACGTTTTACTATTTTACAGAATCGATAATCCAACTGGTAATGCGATATACACAACTAACTGGAAAACTGACAAGTCACATATTCACAACTAGTCACATCTATCAGTAAAGTATTATGACCAAACTGCTTACACAAAATTATGGTGAAACAATTTGAAATCAAAAGCTGACTATTCAGTTCAATTATTTGACTCACTTCAAGTATAGCCTTATGCAAAACATCTGATATATACAGTCTATCCGAGTCAGTGATGTTTGAGAAGTCCGCTGATTCAGAATTGAATGCGTCGTTTATTCCCATTTTCCGCAAAACACTTTTCAAACTCAAAGCGCTTCCTTCTCTCAATTTAAATTTAGGCAAGTACAACTGCAACTTCGTATTCTCGAAATTACTGGAGAGTACTGAAGAAATTCCTCCAGTTTTGTACAACAACTTCAATAGGTTCGGTAATCCATTCAGTTCATTTGGAAGAATAACCAATAATGAATACCTAAACCACAGTTAGTTTGAAAGCAAAGAAAAAGTTAGGTAAGTTTAAACACTTTAAATGCAAAAAGGTACAGTAAAATGTGTGCAAACTGAAATATACTGTATCGGTTTTAGGCACCATTTGTTGTCGCTAGATTCCACACTGATACAAACAGTTCATTCAAATTAAGTCGACCTTGCATTATTTGGAGCTAAGTTTAGTGATCTGGTTATTTCGAATTTATTCTGTAGAAAGCAACCTCTTTAAATCAAATACAACCTGAAACTGAGTGTCAAATTACATACTTTGTGAGCTTGGATGCTTAGGTCTTGGTGTTATCCTTTGTTAGCGACAGGTTAGTAGATGATATCTTATCTGTGTGGAAAAGTTGAGACTGTCGTCAGATTTAGTTGAAATAACTGTTAGGATGGCAATTTGTTATTCCAGTAAAATCCACGATTATCATTTTGATTAGCTACAAAAACCGAAACACAAGCATCGAATAAGCACATGCTGAAATAAACCGTACAACAATGATACTCACTTAGGATCTTTGAACGGTATTTTCACTCCCCGTGCCATCAAGTGAGGTAAACTGGTCATATCGAAAAATGACTCTTTATACATCAACCTCACGTTGATCGTCAATCCGTCCAGTGTATAGAAATCACTGTCAGTTGTTGCATTCGGCAGAAAAGGTAGATTCCACATACCTGAAATCAAAGTTGATTATCAAGTCATCAGTAGGTTTGAAAGACAGCAGTCAAAAATGAAACAAAAGTAATCAATACTCGCAATAAGTTGATGAATATTTTCAACTGTATGCATGGTATTACCTCTGAAGTATGTGGTTGATACCACAACAGCCGAAGTATCATTTTGTAAAAGTTTTGAAGGAATGAGTTGTTGAACCTTCCCATCGGTCTGTTCACTAACCCACTGGTTGATTCGTATTCGAGCACTCTCTGGATCTGTTTGAAATGCTACCTGTCAGGAATATCAGTGATACGCAGTATGAACTTACATTTTCCACAAGTGCGTTGTAATATTTCTTTAGGGTTTTCTTGAAATGTTTTTTAATGTCCATATTCTTTCTTGCAAACAGCCTATTCCCAAGGATTATTTCAACACCTCTGTCAGCTTTAGAACATTTTGACAGCATTTCACCGATGCGATTGTGAATTATCTCGACTTTCAAGTGGTTGGATAACTGCATTGCCCTAATCATTTCAGCTTTTGTATTTCCTTCACATCCCGCAAGAACCATTCCAAGAGCAGTATAGATATTGAAAGTCGAGACAAAACTATTTTCCAGATGATCTGAATAAACACATGTAAATTTTGTCAAAGAATAAACTTACCGTGAGTTTCTTCTAATATTTCTGCATAAAACATATCAGTGAAGTTTAAAAAGATTGCAATATCTCCATCGTGTTTCAGCTTACAGTATTTCGAAATAACAACTTTAATCAGTTATCTGAAGAACTAAAATACCAGAATGATAAGACGATAATCAAAATAATTAGTTGTTGGACCTGAAGACCTGATTTTTCTCATGAATAAGATACTCGTAATAGGTACATAATATATGCATCGTACATATGGTGATATTCTTGTCAGTCGTTTTTATTAGTATCGAAAATTTTATAAGATGTGCCCTCAGTTTCTTTAAACTGACGGATTCGTAAGTACTTTTTTAAAGTCTACAGACGCACTGATGGGTTGAGTTACAAACAAACCAATATATAGCCAACTTTCCCGTATAAGTAAGTCAATAAATAATCTATACTAGTCGGTAGTGCTTTAATGGTCTACATATTCTAATACGGATGAGTTCGATGAATCTTTGGTTGTTATTCAAATATAGGATATTATAGTTGGCTAATAAGTTTACTTTCATTTGCTATATGTTGATCATTCGTATCTATTATTAAGTAGTATGAATCGAATACATAGCACTTAATTCGAATTATCTATATCTATCAGATGATGTAGTGTAAAACATGAATCTTTAGATTTATATGTTCACGAAACAAAATGAAACTTTTCGATTCGAACAGTGCCTAGTAACTCACTGTGCACTGTTCGTTTTATTAATTTTTTCAATTGCCGCTATTTACCTGTGTCCTTCCTAAGGCTGTTTCTCTAATGGCTTAAACAAGTGTTACAGGAAAGAATGATAGAAGCTTCTATTTATCCAGCTCTCGTATATAATTACAGCGGACAACTATAACATTCATTTGAGATGTGGTGTAGGAGTTAGATAGGGAGGATATTATCTTGAGAGCATTAGAATTACATTAATCACCTTAATATTCGATTCACTTTCGGTTCAGTTTAGCTTGATAATTAAGCATGACCACTACACTAAGCTTACCTTTTTAAATTTATTTCTAAAACTTCAGTTTATTTCAAGCATTTTAGTTTCCAGACGCTATCTAATTTTACTTCGTTAATAATAACATAACAGCGGAACAAATCACTGTCTTATTTAAGGCAAGGACTGTCTGCTTCTATTTAATTATCAGGTTTCGGGTGAACAAACACTGGACTGGTTTCAGAGCTGATATGACTGAAGACTGTATGGATTGACCAGCCGGCCCTGAACAGATGATAGTAAAGGTAAGTGAGCCGTTTTCGAGCAGCGTTTCTAACAGAAGTCTGTAGAAAAAATATCTATGGATAATAATTAGCTTCAAAGATACATCATTTGGCATTAAGTAAACAACCTGTATGCATCGCTATCCATTCTGATAGCCTTGAGAATGCAATAAAGATAAATTCGGAAACCTAGAAAACTCTACAAGCGAAACACGAAGTTATCGAAATCATTGTGTCAGAGCGGGTTTTCAGCACATAATTAGTACACAATGTGTTTTTCAGCTGGATACAAACCACCACAGTAATCTGTTATCTACATGTGTTCATGTAGTTTGCTGATTAAGTGCAATTGACTATGACTTTTGGCAATCTCAAGATTTCATAATGTAATTCGATGCTCCTCACCTCGAATTCGCTTCACAGTTACTTAGCTACTAAACCACTACTACAGTCATGTCATACTCAGGAAACGTAAAATGGGTATTGTTGTTCCATCTGCTATAAAGAGGCTGGAGATATTTCGTTCGCACATTGAGATCAGCTGTTATCACTTAATACGAAATTTCGGCTTAAATACTCTCATAGAAGTAAGCAAACTTTTAATGAACATACTGGTTTCATTACTGTCCAAGTCCTTGAGCAATTCGTGCGTCATGCTGAACAATCGAATTGTGTACCGAAATCTCTGCTCTGTGTCAGTTCTAGTACGTAACAAAGTTAGCATGTCAGTCGCTCTATGTAAATCTTTGCTGATCGCTTTCTACTGAATCTCAAGCTTTAGTGAGTATTCTTTTACAAGACAGAAACTACTTGTTCAGCTGAGACTTTGTAGTCATCGACCACTAAGTTGTTCAACATGATTTTTAATGTGTATTGTTTTGATCTCAGTCTTTTAAACCCTATAGATGTGGCCTCAGAGATGGTTAGATCTGTGTAGATTGAAAAGTCAACATCTTGACATAAATCCACATTTAAGTTACGGAATGCCCATATAATTTGACCTTAATTCATATAATAACTTCGGAAAGATTGAGGCGTTTTCAGTGTTTATTATAAGAGAATTCAGAGAGACTGGCAACCAACGTAGTTCCTACACACTAGACAAGCTCACTCATAGCACTGCCACCTAGTTCCTATACTGAGATGAGACCAGACAGACGGATTGAATTGTATCTGTTTATTTCATGCATTTATTTTTGTAGAAAAACATTTAGCTAAGCCGCGCAAAGTGGAGAAAGTGTGACAGTATCCTTAGTAGAAGATGACATACCACATACAGCCAGATGATAATAAGCTAAAGATATGTTATGAATTCAGTACTCAATACACATACACACGCTACATAAAATCAGTCATCATCATCAGTGTATAATCGACAAGATCGAAACAAAACGTGAACAGAATAAATTATTTGTTCTGTGCACAGGCTGGTATTACCAGTGTAGGTGTGAAATAATATCCGATACAGCAACTTTCACAGTTTAAAAAAGTAGGAATTCTACTGCCTACACAAAGCTATGCTGAAACAATTCGAAAACAAAAGTTGACCATTCACTTCACTAGTTGACTCACTTTAAGTATAGTCTTATGCAAAGCATCTGATATACAAAGTCTATTCGAGTGAGTGATGTTTGTGAAGTCCGTACTCGTTCGTATTCTCAAACTCACAAACTATATATGGCAGTTTATTACTTTGCTCTGGATTCTTGTTTCTTCAGTACGGTTCTATTAATTTGTTTGTGTCGTATAACGGTGCACCAACAGACTTCTGTCCGTCATTGCTGCTGGAGTCCCAACTAATCTTAACTATATCAGTCGAAGCATATTGCTCATCCAAAATCAGATGGTTGAATGCCACAATACCAATATTTCATCTGAAATCAGAATAATCTTCATACGTGTGCTAGATGATTTTTCGTTGGGATTTCGTTGAAGGTACTAAAAACCTCTAAAGACTTCCACAGGGAAACTGAGACACACTAGATAATTCGGAGTATGAAGAAGAAAGAACACTGACATTTTAGTCTGTATACGAAAAATGAAGGTTTTTGCATAGTTACTCATCCATCAGTTGAACCCATTCAAAAGCTGTTATTCAGAAGAATGCTATAGAAATGGTAACTTCTAGTACCAAGTTATGGAGTTCTATTACTTATAATCTGATTGTATACTTATTAGAAAACTAATTAACTACGTATCTATCCTCGTTATGTCATAAGCCCTTGATAGGTTTATTAGCCAGTCTAGTACGAGTGATAATTCTAATATTTTTCCAGCTTATCATGCGCATAATCACAGATTTTTAATTATTTGTGTGCAGATTTACGTTTACTGAATCGGCTAATTAATTAAAGGGGTTAGAAATAATGATATGAAAAAAAACGGAATTGTTCACTCCTCTTTTGGCGGCAGAGCAAGTTTTCTATCCTTAAGTGAGAAACCTTATCACACTCTATACCGAAATCAATGAATATCACGTCGACAGACTGACTGCTGTCTAATTACGTCGGACAGTTAGTAAGTTACACAGACATGGATACTTATCTAAAAGTTCATGTTGTTCAGCAGTTAATATATTGTATAATCATTTATGACCTGGTAAATTGATCCGAATTAATTTCCAAGGACCATATCTGCCATTCTGGTTAGATACGTTTCTGTCTCTCGCCATACATGACTACAGGACTAACTATATTGTTTCCTTAGTCAAATCTACTGATTCGATAGTTGGCCCTCCATTTGTACAATTTTCGAATTCTTGTCACCAAACCCCCTAGCGTAAATTTTCTTGAGATAGCTTGATAGTCTCAGACACTGAAAAACCTACCATTATCATAATTGCGCTTGAATGAGTATGCATGATCGGAAAATTGTAACAGCCTACGCACAAATTTATCCTACAAGCTTCTATTTTAGATGCTTAAATAATTCATTGACCCATTTAATAATAATAATAATAATAATAATAATAATAATTTATTCTCAAATAACAAACATGTTACAAGAGACATGCCAATTTACAGGCAAGATCAAAATGTTAAGATTAGCAACATATTTTTTTCTGAAAACGGTATAATGTTACTGAAACATTTCATAAGATTCATTGTTTTCTTAAAGTTGGAATGTACGAAGCGATCAATTGGCGCAAGTTACGAAGGTTGCTTACAACAATCATCTTATGGGCTGAGAAATGATTTATGGTACAGACAGGTTTTCATATAACAAGAATTGATGCGGTAAATGTACAAAAGTCTGGTTGATATTCGTCAGCTAATGATTTCACATGTTCTTGGCTAGGGTAACCAAGTCTACTGCAAATATCCAGACAAATATATGTGGATTGGAATAAGGTTCTGGAAAAAGAGGAATAAAGAAAACGGGACGAGGAGCAGAACAGAAAATATTCATGTTCAAAGCCGAACAACGGCTTCGCACATACGTTTACGGATAAAACAAAGGTATGTTTACCCAAACATTTTTAATATCAGAACACTTTACATCTGCGCTTATGTAGGTTAATGAAGACAATTCAGTAGTGAGATAACTAATGAGAAGTTAGTCGAAAGAATCGAGGAAATTCAGAAGAACCAAGTTGTTAGTAATAAAGTTGAGTTACAAAATATAATAAAGAGGATCAGTGATATAATTTTTTGGTTTTATTTATTCTTTTTATTTTTAAATCTGAGGCTCAAGAAGTTATGAATGAGCTCTTTTTTAGTATAGTTGTCCAGACCAGCTTGTAATAGGATTTCTCGGTAGGAAGTAAAAACCAGTGCAAGGTTACAGACATGGGT